AGTGTCTTTATCTTGAATGGGTGTTGAATTTCATCTTGTGCTTTTTCCCTCTGTACTTTTGATATTGTTACAACCTTGGCATAAAAGACTGGGTGCTTTGTCCTCTAAGGAAAGAATTCACCAGAGAGCATTAGGCATAGTTGAACTAGGAAAGGCTTTATTATACTCTTGCATGAGGGAGCTAGTGCTGGAGAGGAGAATATAGCCTGTCTCCTCAAAGGGAGTTAGGAGGGAGGAGGAGAGCAGTGTCATAGCTTGTTCTGGGTTGGGCTATGCCCGGGCATGGGTAGGCAGATTACATTCCAACCTTACACACATGTTCTTGGCCTTCTCCTCTCAGGAAATTGTGACATAATCATTAGTTAGTATCTAATGCTTTTTGTCTATCATGGTGCTTCATGGTCAGTGTGGTGGCCAAACTGATTGGACGAGACTGGTCAGGCCATGATTTAATCTACCTGTTCAAACAGGTCTTGGGGCAATATATCCTACTGGTTTACTTTTTTTTTTTTTAAACTAGATTGTCTCTATATGATCATGTGACTTTTGACTCTACTGCTTATTAATAAGATGGTATATTACATTAATCGATTTTTACATCTTTAACTTTATATTCCTGTGATAATTCTTACTTGATTGTGATATAAAACTTCTTTACATATTGTTGGATTTTGTTTGCTAACATTTTATTGCGGATTTAAAAATCTATATTCATAAGTCTTATTTATATCCACAGTCTTACAAGCAATCTGGGGAAATGATAGTTGGGGCTCCAATATTGTCAGCCTGCTGTGTCTAGGTATAGTGCCACTCATACCTCTGGGGAATGATGGAGCAGGGGATTCCCAATATCTAATCTGCTCTTGCCAAGAATTTAGCTTAAGCAAGTCAGAGATGTGAAGATAAAAAGTTCTAGTGTTTCACTCTTCCAGTAAGATACCCACTAATAAGATCTGTGGGTTTTCCATAACAAGTAATTCTGAAATTTGCTCCAGCTGTAAGTCCTACAATTTAATTCAACTCTGACACTGAATTCCTAGAATTAGTGCAGACCCTATAGGTTAAGGACACAGTCTCACAAGACTTCTCCTCACTTCAGATGCCAGTCACAACTATTGGGTCCCCAGGCTATTTATACTTCTATGTGATTTGGCTAAAAATCAAAGATTCCCCTGACCTCCCCCTTCCACCACCCATTAATTTTAATAATTTGAAATGACAAATAGTTTACAGGACTCAGGGCAATACTTTCTTACTAATAGTGTATTAATAAAGGATACAAGTGAACAATCAGATAAACAGGTCCATAAGGTGATCTCTGGAAAATCCAGAGCACAGAAGCTTTTGTCTCTGTGGAATTGGGATGTGAGACCCTTCCGGCATCCAGATGTGTTCAGCAACCTAGAAACTCATCAGATTTTTGTTTGAGTTTGTATCGAGCTTAATCTCTAGCATACCTTTCTCCCATTGGTAGAGGCTGAAGAGCCATTTGTTAAATCTCCAGCCCTATCCTGAGCCTATCTAAGAGCCAGATCCTAAGCCAGCTCATTTGCATTTCTTATACTCTGATCAATCTAAAGAACTTATTATGAATAAAAACCTTTGAACACTTTAGAAGTTCTGAGGGCTTTAGTAGCTCTGAGTCAGGACACAAGCCCAGTATGTTTCTTAAGCCACAGTAATGTTAAGGGGAAAGGATGTCCTAAAGGATTTCTGCAGAGTTTTGTGGACTCCACCCCCTACTCCAGTTTTCTGGACTCCAACCCCTACTCCAGTGATTGGAAACCACAACTCCCAGCAGTACCAAGGAGAGAAATGCAAAGACCCAAGGGCGGAGCTAAGTAGGCTTCTGGGACTTTTGGGGATAGATAGGGAGTGATTCTCTTCGAGGGCGGGGGTGGGGGGGTGAGGAAGGCACTGGGAGGGTGGTTCAGGCAACATCTCTCTCTGGGACAACAGCTGGCTCAGGACCACGTGACTGGGGGCTATCAGTTAGTTTGTTACTAGAGATCAGTTAGTTTGTCACTAGTCAGTTAGTTACTAGAGTTGCAAGTCAGCGGAGTTGGGAAGATATTCTAGTTACCTTGTATCTCTCTTGTCTTTCTCTGGGTTGTTCCTTTTCCTTTCCCCTTTTTGTAAATAAACCCATTATTGACCCTTTTGTGTGTGCCTGTAGTACAACTAAATTTTAAGTGCGTGGGTGAGGACCCACAGTCAGGCAGCTCAGTTCACCTTGGGTTACCCTGTAACAGTACAACTTTAGAGTATGAACTGGAGGAAGTAGAAGTCCTCTCTGCTTGGCAATATCCATCTATGTAGATGAGGTATGGAATTTTCATCAAAATGACAGTACTGAAGTACCACGTTTAGTAGTTTTTTTGAACAAATGTTTCTTCATTTGTTGTATGACCTTAGGACAATTCCTAAAGACTTAAAATTTTTGTGAATAGTAATTTTCAGCATTTATGTATATTTCAATGAAGAGCAGTTTCACAGATCTTCTCATGTTGTCATTCTGGAAGTGGAAATACTATAAAGTCCCATTTTTGTTTCTGATGAGAGTGTATGTTAGTATGTGATCAAGGAGTATTCTGGAACCCTCAAACTTGTGGGCTCTAAGTGCTTCTGGGCATCCATGAACACAGAGACAAAGCAGACTCTTAGAGTAAAAGAACTTTAATAGATTTAGTGTGTATAGAGAAAGAAAAGAAAGACTATTTCAAATAAAAGACACAAATGTATCCATCTCCTCATGTGTAAATGTCCAGTCAAACAGGGCTGACCTGAGGTGGTATTGCTGAGGCCCAAAAGCTTGCCACAAGTCTAAGGAATCTTCTGCCAGGAAACTGTTGGAAGGGTGCAAAGGGGGCCAGGCAAATCTGGGAAGAAAAGCATAATCAAAGTATAAATAAATGTAATAGCTTAGCTCCGCCCTTCATTGAGTAGGGCAGGGGGCATAGTAACTTTCCTTTTAATGGAGACATCTTTGTAACGTTCATATTAATAAATATCTAAAATTTCCCTTTAAAAATGTGATTTTTTTAATTCATTCAACTCATTCTTTATAATATTATGTATTTTCCCCATACTCTGGCAAGTGGTGGTATTTATTATATTACCCAGGTACCTTCAGACCAAAAGACTATGTCTTTTTTTCATGCTTGCAAACTAATGTATTTGGGGAATACCTAGACTAGGGACGGTATCCTATCCCCAATTTATTATAGGCTGAACTATTGTATTTTAGCCTCTTTTAATATGCTGTTGCATGCTGTTCTATCAGGTTTGGGATAAGATAGCTTCATGAAACTGGGAGGTTTCACTTAATGACTCAACCTGAACACATAATTATCACAATTTTGGGATTTCATATTATAGTTTTATAACCATACAGATTTACTTGGCAGCAAGTATAAGAGAGGAAAAGTAATCACCCTGTTATCAAATTTTGGGAGAGTTGTAACACAGAGCACACAGGACCTAGTCCAGAGAGTTCCAGGCATTTGTTAATCTGCAGAAAGGGAAAGACTTCTTAGTACAAGAGTCCCAGAGGACACTCACCAAACCTGGCTAAGGCTTTAGGACCATAGATGTGTTGCCCATCAGCATCTTAATATGCCTTAAATTCTCTGCCTAAATTTATACTTCTTTTCAGAGGCATATTAATTAGTACCACCTGTCAATTTTAGTCAGGGTCTCTCTGCAGACTCAGGTTTTTATGTGTTCTTGCCTTTCATGTGTCTGTTTGTCAGTGTCTTTATACAGATGTGGTTGCTTTTTAAATGATAATTAAGTCACTATTTCAATGGCCAGGATGATTACAATATCAACACATATAATAATTTGATCAGACATGACCATATAATACTTTTTCTGAGAACTCTCTGGACTGCTGGGGGTCTCAAGTTTTCTTGCTTACACATCAGTGCTATATAGAGATATTATTGCTTACTTATTTAGTCTTCTGATCTATTGATTTTCTTACTTTACTTCTTATAGAGGTAAAGATTGTTTTGATTGTTTAAAATCAAGTGGAGTGTGGAGAATACACTCAACTGGGAAGGTTCTGAGACTTGACTGAAATCTTATTCTTTGAAAAGTCAAAGAAAAATTTATTTTCTCATTTCTGCTTTAAATATCTAAATATAAAGATGGTGCTATTCTGAGGATCTCTGAAAAAGAGTTAGTTGCTTCAGGGCAAATGCTGGCATTAATTAGCTCCATCTTATAGAGAATTTCTTCCTACCTGATATGCTAGCCCCTTGGGTGTATGCATTCTAGGAGACCAAAATAGGAATTTTATTTTATTTTATTATTTTTTTGTCTCTGAAATAAACCTTTCTTCTACAACAGTTTTGATTTTCAAATGCTTATAGTAAACTGCCTTACACATCAAATTAGGGGCTCAATTGTGTTATAACTAGCAGTGTAACAGTCGACCAAACTACCCTATGGAGTTGCCTTTCTCAAGATGATACATTACATAAGTATTTTATAAACACCCAAGAAAATCGTGGCTTCAAAAAGAAAAAAAGAAAACTGTGACTTCATTTCTATACTTTTGATATCAACCATTGTACAAATTCAAATGTTGTGGGTATTTTTTGTTTTAATTTTTCAGTGTCTGTATTTCGTAAGATAGAGTGTTTATTTTCCTATATTTTGAAATATTAACTATTTTCCAGATTTTTTTTTTAAGATTTATTTATTTGTGCATACAGAACTGGGGTACAGGCCAGAGGCTCAGGGGCGGTGAGAGGCTTCACCAGAGACAGAGTGGGGAACAGAACAGGCAGATCGACGAAGTACACTGGTGAGGGGAGCAGCGGGCGGGTCAGGAGAGGTCTGCCACACCATGTGGTCACCTCCGGGGCAGGCGGGAATCGAACTCACGCGGAAGCGGCTTTAGATTCTCAGTGCTGTGCTTTAACCCTCTGCGCCACCAGGGAGGGCCTATTTTCCAGATTTTTAAAAAAATAGTAATTTTTTTTTTTTTAAAGACTAAACTTCAGTGGCTCTGTGAGGAACTGAAAGAGAGAGAAAACAGAGAGAAAAGCCTACGGCACCAGCTGATGCTGTGCAGGCAGCAACTCAGGAATATGACCGAACACAAGGAATCTGAACTCCAGTGTCTCTTTGAACAGATAGAAAGGCAGGAGCAACTTCTGGAAGAAATACATCGGGAGAAGAGAGGTATGGTAACTGCTCTTAGTTTTCTTTTTCTTTTCCTCTATTCCAGATTATTTCCATATCCATTTCCTTTCCTTGTCTTGTTCACCTTATCTTTCTTCATAGTGGGGTCTAGAAGAGACATCTGTTCCAAATCTGGCACTTTTTCCTTCAGTTACTGTATCTCTCTCCTTCACTTGTGTCTTCTGCACATTATTAAGCATTTTTTTTTCATAAGGCATGTGAGTTATCTCTTACAGAATGCAGTAGTTTTATTTCAGTATAATAGCCATCCATTTATTTATGGTTTAAGTATTTGTTTTGGGCCTATTTTATTCTCAGAACTATTATAGGCACTGAGAGTACATCAATGAGTAAAGCAGAAAAAAAATCTTGCTCTTGTTTGGCTTACATTATATTGAGACTGGGATGAAAGAAAAAATTAACTATAGGTAGGGAAAACTATGGAACTATAATGACATAAGAAAAAAATAAAACTAAAAATAGAAAGCAACAAGATAAAAATAAATGGGTAAATTATGTATTAGGTTATAAGCACAAAGGCTTAAACAGAATAGAGGTTGAAGAGTTTTGGGGAGTATAAGGCAGGGCTTAATATGTTTACTATGTAGGTAAAACTTTAATGTTAGAAAAGAGACTTGGCAAATGACTTTTCTGTTTAGTTGTGCTATGATTGCATCAGGATGAGATGAAGAAAAACGGCAATTATGTGGGGGGAAGCTATGTGGGTCTTGGTTTGCGTTGACCTTTTCTTTATTAGTATTTTATTAATTTAAGAATTAGCAAGAGGCTTAATATTGTTTAGGAAGACATTAAGAAAAACTAAACATGTGAGAATCATGTTTAAAGTAAATTTTACTTTTCATTTTACTGATTAAGATTATTCCTTCCATCAGTATCACCAGAAAACAGTTTAATCTTGTGCTGAGTGATTCTAATTTGTGCCCAGGCCACATACATTCTTAAAATATTTGAAAATTAAAATTGCTATTATTAATATGCATTATGCATATCAGTCTCCATCATACTAGCTATAAAACCAAGAACATAAAAGATCTATTTCTTTAAAATAATAGCTATAAACTCACTATTAACATAAAAAATAGTGAAATTTAACTTTTACATTACAAATTGTTTTACATTTTTATAAATCTTAATTGCTTTTAGAATTGTATTTTCATTTTCTCTTCTCTGTTTAATTTGTTATGTTACATGTCATGTAACTTCTGGAAAAATTGCACTGTATATTCATGTGAAATTAAGTGTGAAAAGGAAATTTGTAAGTAGTAGTATTAGAGTCTTAGATGTAGTAATCTTAGATGGTCCCTAAACCATCCTTTGAGAATTTCTCCTCTTGTGCTATTGACAGGGGTAGAAAGCCAGCAATAGTACTCAGAAGATTCCCTTGTAGCTTTAAAAATTTATAGTATAAGAAGATCAAATTGCGGAATTTACAGATACAATTCAAACTGGCCTTTCTTGTTGCTATAGACTATTTACTAATTAACATCAGGTTACAACCAGAATTTTTTTTAAGTAAGCAATATTGTCACCCTGTAATTACTTTCGTTGTGAAAGGATGCCATAGTATATTAAAAATATATAAAACTGTCAGTGGGGAAAGATTCAAAGAATGAAATATTTGTGTACTAAGGTAATTATATTCACCTACCCAGTTTTTTCATATGCTTCAGAAGTTAAGCCTATAAAGTTGATATTTTTTCTCTAAAAATTGTATTTCTAGTTTTTTATTTCAATTCTTTTAATCTAATGAAAATGTTTTCTTCATTTTGTACAGATAGGTCATTTGAATTCTTTTTTTTTTTAAGATTTATTTATTTGTTCATACAGAACTGGGATACAGGCCAGAGGCTCAGGGGCTGCGAGAGGCTTCACCAGAGACAGAGTGGGGAGCAGAATAGGCAGATCTACGAAGTACACTGCTGAGGGGAGCAGCGGGCGAGTCAGGAGAGGTCTGCCACATCATGTGGTCACCTCTGGGGGGTGGGGGGGGGAATCGAACTCATGCGAAGTGGCTTTAGTTCTCAGTGCAGTTCTTTAACCCGCTGCACCACCAGGGAGGGCCGACATTTGAATTCTTATATTTATCTTAGAATCATTTTACCATTCTATTTTATTTTAAGTAGGGTTTGTTAAATGTATAGATTAAGTTGAGAATTGACATCTTAATACTGAGTCTTTCAATTCATGAACTTGGTATTGCTATCCATTTATTTAGGTCTTTTTGTTTTTCTCATGGAGGATTTTGCAGTTTTCAGCAAAATGATGTTGCATATCTTTTATAAAATTACTTCTAGCCTTTTCTGATTTATGATGTGATATTAAATGATATTTAAAAAGTGTTATTTCCTTCATTCTTTTCTAGTGTACAGAGATATAACTGAATTTTTTTCTTTGTGTTTTAATTTTGATCTGCAAGCTTAAGCCCATTTATTTATTCTTATAGTTTCTTGTATTTGTGATTTCCTAGCACTTACAACTTTCTTCCTACATGATCACAACATTTGTAAATAAGAACACTTTTGTTTCTCCTTTATTTTATGTTTGCTTGTCTTAATCAACTAGTTGGTACCTTCAATATATATCTTAAACTAAACTTGTATTCATGGGATAAATTCTGCTTTGTCAAAATGTATTTTTCCTTAAATATATATATATATATATATATATATATATATATATATATATATATATATATATATGGCTGCATGTGATTTATTTGTTTAGTTTTTGCTTCTGTATTCATAAGGAATACTGATCTGCAGCTTTTCTTATAATGTCTCCATCAGACTTGATTGTTAATGTAACAATAATCTCTTACAGTTAGTTGTTTTTAACCTTCTATTTGGGGGGAACATTGTATTTAGTTGTATTTTGTGAAAAGTTTTAAATTCATGATAGAATTATTCAATGAAGTTTCTTGGATTTATTTTTGTTTTGGGAAATGTTTCAATTTTAAACTCAACTTCTTTAATAGATAGATGGGTATTCAAAATTTTCATTTCTTTTAGAGCTAGTTTTTATAATATTTGTCCATTTAACCTAACATATCAACTTTATAGGTTTAAAATTTTTCGTAGTATTCTTTTCAATTCTTTTAATCACCCTAAAATCCATATTATGCCTCTGTTATATTCATGATAATGGTAATTTACTTTCTGTCTTTTTTTTCTTTTGAATCTTGTTGAAAGTTTTGTTAATTTTATTAAAGTTTTAAAAGAACTTTTTTCTATTTGCCTTTCGTACTGTTATATTTTCTTGCTTTACTTTTGTATTTACTTTGTGTAGTATCATTTGTTCATTTTCTGGTCTTTTAAGTTGGAAGCATTATTTTACTATCTATCTTTCCTAATATAGGCAGTTAGAATTATGAATTTCCACTTTAGCACTCGTTTTCTGTATTCCATAACTATGTTGTTTTCTCATTGTAACTTTCGTTTGAATTAGAAAATATTTCCTTTGTCTTTTCTTGTTCAGTGGATTCTTTTAAACAAGTTTATAATTTAATATCCAATTATGTGTATAGTTTTCGAGATATTGTATTACCATTGATCTCTAACAGGGTTTCTAATAAGACTTGTGGTCACAGAACATACTCTGCATTATTCTGATATTTTGAAATTTATTGAGACAGTTTTTCTTTCTTGTTGTCTGTTTTGGTGAATTTTCCTTGTACACTTGAAAATGCTTTACATTTATGACCAAACATGTTATGAATGTCATTTATATCAACTTGGTTCACAGTGTTCTATGTGCCTAGTCATTTTTATATCCTTTCTGATTATTTTTTGTCTAGTTCTGTCCACAACTGATAGAGAATTGCTAAAATACCCCAATATCACTTTGATTTTTTTGCTTTTTTTTTTTTTTATCACTTTGATTTTTTTGCTTTTTTTTTTTTTTGATACACATAGTTTGAAATTTTGGTTTTAGATCCTATCCTAATATTGATTGTGGAAATATATCTAGTTAACCTCTGTAAATGCAAAAGGAGGGATAAAAATAGAACATTGGTATTGGCAACAAATACAAAAGACACTGGAGGATTTTAGTACAAATTTGAAAATTAGTCTAGAAATGAGTGAGAATTTACACAGAGTACTAAAGTCTCAGTGGTTTTGCCATTGCAAGAAGTAGGAGCCAGGATGTATAGCTGATGTGATGGGAAAGTAGGAGGGTTCCCATTTTTAACCTGTTCCCTAATATCGTAAATGAAAAAGCCATCAAGAGGACTCAAACTTCTGTGACAGTACAGATATGGCAATCTCTCCTTGTGATTAGGGGCTGTCTAGTGATTCAGAAATAAGGAAGACTGTACAACTAATGAGCAAACAATGCTGTTATTGTTTGATGTAAAAGTATTTTATTAGGAGACAAGATACAATAGATGTGTTATTGGAAATATAAGCAATATGTTCTTGAAAGGGGCATATTGATAATTTCTGTTGAAGTTGTCCTGTGAATGAGAGGTTTTTGCGCGATTTGCCCTTCAATTTAGATCTTTAAGGGCCTCCCTAGTGGTGCGGGGTCTCAGCCCTGTCAGGCCATTGATGGCCACTGAGGTATAGCATAAGTTCCACCTCAGGCCAGAAAGCTAACCCACATGGTGCAGCAGATATTTCTAAAGTAACAGAGTTAACTATAGTATATGTTTATAGTTGATTCACTTGATGTGTCAGAAATTTATCTGGTAAGTAGAATAAGGTAAATCTACAAGTAAACCACAAAAGAGACGTTTCATATTTGCTGTAATTCATCTTGTTTTCTGGCACTGATATTTTTTAGTTTGATTTAATACTAACTGTTAGGTGTCAGGATAACCAAGGCCCTTGTACAAAAGGCTTTACCAGTGAGAGCTGTCAGATTTATGCATTTGAGCTAGTTTTATATTGCTGTACTACTCTGGTCTCTTTGTACAGGAGTGTTCCAAAAAGAGAAAAGCCATCTTGGAGTTCATGTCATAGACCTCTTAGAACTTAGTA